AGTTACCAGTATAAGTCCACATGATCCCTTGGGTATTGTGTGGTGGTCCGACGACCTCAAACAACGAGGGTGGGCGATTGTCCAGATCGTCGGTAGCCTCGGTGTAGTGGGAGGGCTTGCCTTGTGGCTTGCGAAAGCCTGGGGATTATCATCACGCAGTCTGTCTGAGTGGCGCTTTGACTATTGCAGCACCTGCAATTGAAGCTGGAAAGGACATCCAGTACTTCATGACGTCGAAAAAACGATCTGACCGACAATAACGATGCAATAACGATGCAAAAGACGATCGATCCAGACTATTCCTTTCCCACTTATCCATTTTCGTGCTTCGGCGTCGGATTCTGTTTTCGTGTCCTTTGTTGACGGTCGCTGGTCTTCGTCAACCAATTTCTTCTTCGTTGACATCTCTGTTCAATATACATATACATGGATGGATGTATGGGAAGCAAATCTCGGTGTCTTGAGGTGTCTAGGTCGTTCAGGTCATCGGTTCTTCTAACACATTTGACCCTGCCAGTCCAAACTTCATATCCACTGTATTCTGTGGTGCTACATATCCTCTCATCTACTCCCGGAAGACGTATGTACCATAGTGCCTCCCTGTTCTTATAGGCATCCCTTGCATCCCTATATGTATGCTATCCTTGATGCTGGCTGGTTGGTCGTAGAAGCGTAGGAAAATACCAGGCCATTCATTTATAGAGGTCGAATCAAGAACTTCTACCAGCAAGACGGAGCAGTCCTGATCTACAGAATTGACTATGGATCCAAGTGAACGAGAATAAAGCTTTTATTCCGATGAACTATTGGTCTACCTGACTGAAAACGCTCTCACGATCTTCATAAGAAGAAACACTAAGAACAAAATTCAAAGTCGAAGTACCTTGAGTAAAAAGAAAAACGCTCAAGAACGCCATTCGTTGTGAATCACCATCATCATTCAGGATATACCATCTCCTGCCGTTCCCATCAATCGAAGAAAGCAATATCGTTCAGTGATTAATCCTGATGCAAATACCGCTGGAACAGGTTTGAAAAAGGTCGTAAAATATTACATTAGAGCGTAACCGTCTAGTCAACCTCCTCCATGGCGCTCTCGCCAGTGGTGGCCTCGGCAGGAGCAGCAGCCTCCTCGGCGGGCTTCTCCTCGGTGGTCTCGGCGTCCTCATCAATGTTCAGACCAAGAGACACAAGCTTGTGAATACGCTCAGCGAAGCTGGCAGGCTCCTCGATGGTGAAGCCGGAGACGAGGAGGGAGGTCTCGAAGAGCAGCTGGGTGATGGACTTGACAGTGCGGTCGTTCTCACCGTCGGCCTCAACCTTCTTCTTCAGCTCCTTGATGATAGAAGACTTGGGAGAGATCTCGAAAGTCTTCTTGGAGGACATGTAAGAGCTCATGGAGGTGTCACGCAGAGCCTGAGCCTTCATGATACGCTCCATGTTGGCGGACCAACCGAACTGGCCAGTGCGGATAGCGCAAGGAGAACCGACGAGCTTGTGGGACACGACGACCTTCTCAACCTTGTCGCCAAGGATGTTCTTGAGGCTCTTAGCCAGGTTCTCGTACTCCTTCTCTTCCTTCTCGCGCTCAGCCTTCTCCTCCTCGGTCTCCTCGAGCTCGAAATCCTTGGTGATGTCGACCAGCTTCTTGCCATCGAACTCCTTCAGCTGAGTGAAAGCGTACTCATCGATGGGGTCAACCAGGAACAGGACCTCGAAGTTCTTCTGCTTGAGGCTGTCAAGGAAGGGAGACTTGGCAACAGCCTTGATAGACTCGCCAGTGATGTAGTAGATCTGCTTCTGGTGCTCAGGCATGCGGGTGACGTAGTCGGCGAGAGAGGTGGCCTCGTCACCAGACTTGGTGGACTGGTAGCGGAGCAGCTTGGCAAGAGTCTGGCGGTTCTGAGCATCCTCGTGGATACCGAGCTTGATGTTCTTGCTGAAAGCAGAGTAGAACTTGTCGAACTGCTCACGATCCTCGGCAATCTCGTTGAAGAGCTCAAGAGTCTTCTTGACAATGTTCTTCTTGATGACCTTCATGATCTTGTTCTGCTGGAGAGTCTCACGAGACAGGTTGAGAGGCAGATCCTCAGAGTCGACAACACCCTTGATGAAGCCCAGCCACTCGGGAATGAGGTCGGTGGCGTCATCAGTGATGAAGACACGACGGACGTAGAGCTTGATGTTGTTCTTGGTCTTCTTGGTCTCGAAGAGGTCGAAAGGAGCACGCTTGGGAACGTAGAGGATAGCACGGAACTCAAGCTGACCCTCGACGGAGAAGTGCTTGACAGCCAGATGGTCTTCCCAGTCGTTGGAGAGGGACTTGTAGAAGGCGGCATACTCCTCCTGGGTGATGTCGGCAGGGTTGCGAGTCCAGATAGGCTTGGTCTTGTTGAGCTCCTCCTCCTCGATCTTGCTCTCCTTGACAGTCTTGGTCTTCTTCTCCTTCTTCTTCTCCTCCTCGTCGTCGACCTCCTCGATCTTGGCCTTCTTCTCCTCATCCTCTTCCTCCTTGGTCTCCTCAGCCTCCTCGTCAGGAACCTCCTTCTCAGTCTCCTTCAGGACGTGGAGGTAGATAGGGTAGGAGATGAACTCGGAGTGCTTGCGAACAACCTCCTTGATACGGCTCTCGTTCAAGTAGTCGGTCTGCTCATCCTTCAAGTGCAGAATGATCTTGGTACCACGGCCGAGCTGCTCGCCCTCGGTATCCTGGGTGAGAGTGAAGGTGCCACCAGCGGCAGACTCCCAGATGTACTGCTCATCATCATTGTTCTTGGAGACAACGGTGACGCGGTCGGCAACAAGGTAAGCAGAGTAGAAACCAACACCGAACTGACCAATCATGGAGATATCAGCACCGGCGGAGAGAGCCTCCATGAACTGCTTGGTGCCAGAACGGGCAATGGTACCAAGGTTGTTGATCAAATCCTACAAGCAAGTCAGTCAATCTGATTACTTCAACCACCAATCTACAGTCGAGACTGCCGGAGTGAAACTTACAGCCTTGGTCATACCAATACCGGTATCACGAATGGTGAGGGTCTTGTTCTCCTTGTCGGGAATGATGTCGATGCGAAGGTCCTTGCCCGAGTCGAGCTTGGTAGGATCCGACAAGGACTGGTAGCGGATCTTGTCGAGGGCATCGGAGGCGTTCGAGATGAGTTCTCGCAGGAAAATCTCCTTGTTGGAGTAGACAGTGTTGATGATCAGCGAGAGAAGCTGAGAGATCTCAGCCTGGAATTCAAAGGTTTCGGACGACATGATGGCGGAGGGAGAGCGAGATATGAGAAATATAGATTCTGATGATTGACAGACTGTTAGCTAGGCCGCCCGAGAATCTCAACCCGTATTTATCTGAGGCAGTTGGGAGCAAAAGGTGTCCAACATGACTGAGGGGCAACTGAGGAGACTTACATAAAGGGTAATTAGGTGGATTCGTGAAAGAGCGGTAGGGGGAGAGATAAGAAAAAGTTCGCAGAGAGATGGAGCGAAGGAGTCAAAGGGGAGAGAGGAAATAGGTTTGAGAATGAGACTTTTTGAAAGATGGGAACAAGATACGACTGAGGAGAGAAGTAAAATAGCTGAAGGGGGGACGGCCGACTTAATGTTTTCTGGGCTGCGGGAGACGAAATTTCGATGCGGTGTTTCTACGGCAATCCAGCAACTTCCATGCTCTCCGCTGTTCCACTGGTCGAGCTTCCAACAAGGTTCCAGTGCCTTCTGACGAGCTGGAGCTTCTCTTAGCCCCTGTCTATCAGGCTGCTGGTTGTATTTGGGGATCTAGAAGCTTCATCCGCATCCTCTTTCACCTCAATCTTGGCTTTTTCTGCTTCCGTCTTTGAATTGCCCCGTCCGCTGAGACCACATCTTAAGTGATTCTATATTTCTGACTTGCCTGACTGCCTCAGGCTACTAATCTAGAACGTTCCGCTCCACTGTTTAGACACTCGCGGAACCAATCACAAGGCTGCATTGTATACCGCTTCTCCAGGTCTCAAATAGCTTGTCCTCTACACATGGTTTTCTGGTGATCCCAAGCTCTTAATACCAATGGAAACAAGAATGTCATCGCCATTATGTCCCTTGGATACACACAGATCTTGCCGCCTGAAGAACTCTCACACATTCTGCTCTATTGCTTGGACTATCTGGAGGTTTACCCGGGCAAATTGCATTTTCACCCGACCTGTCAGATCAACCTGAGAAGACAGATAAATGGGCTTTTGAGGCACTATCCTGCACAGCCATCTGATATGTCCAGCCTGGACCGCAAGGAAGAGACATTTAAGCATCATCTATGACGAGGGATAGTCTTGTACCTGGTTAGGTCTCTTATCTTAAGCATCGGCTCAACAATGGTGAAATATCCATTATTATTATTACACACCCGGCCAATGCTGCTCGTAGCGAGAGCACACCCGGCCTGCTCTCGGCTCGTAAGCTATGTAGGTTCTCTGGTCCAAGGCCATTCCTCACTGGTGAACCGTCTCGCCACCTATTGCAACCCCCAATGAAAGGATAAGCATATCAAACGATGGAGACAACCATAAATCATCCATTTACAATTCATCAGCTCGAGAAAACATGACCAACAAAACACGCATCTGGAAAATGAGGACACTCGAACTAGTGAAAGGATAAATAAATAGAGAACAATCAGAACAGTGTTGGCCTTCGAGCTCGCTATGCTAGAAAAGGCAAAGAGAACAGGTGAAATAGGTCATGAGAGTACAATGATAGGAAATAGAAGTCATATATCAAATGACCAAAGAAACGGGAAAAAAGGGAGTTCCCAGTGAGGAAATGACATAAGAACTTTTCCAACCGCTAACATGCAGTGTGATAAGAGGGGGCCACATAACACATGGATGTCATTATGAGTAGATGTGAGTAATACATGCCCTGGAATCATCGTAGCACCTCAACTTGGTATGCTGCTTTGGACCAGGAGGAAGGGTTAAGAATCGTGGAAGGTAAAGAGAGAATCTTCAACAGACCCTTTAAGCAGCCTGAGGCTGGTTGCGGGGCTTGCCGTTCACGTTTCCTCCACGGCCACGGGGAGCAAAGCCGCCACGTCCGTCGCGCTGGAAGCCACCACGGCCCTGGTTGCCAGCACGGTCACCGCGGCCACGACCTGCGCCACCACGGCCAGCACCGTAGTTAGCATTGCCACCATAAGCATTACCGCGGGGACGACGTTCTTCAACGAATATTTGTTCGGATCCGATTTGGTGAGGGTTTGCAGCGACGGCAGCTGCGTAACCGGCAGGCTCCGCAAACTCAACGAAGGCGCAGTTCTTTGCGAAAAACAGTCAGGTCAGTTCGGATTCTCCTCAAAGCGTTGAGAGTCAATGGTCAACATACCTTCTGGCGGCTCACGTCAAAGTACTTGAGCTTTCCGAAACGAGAGAGAGTTTGCTTGAGCAAGCTTGCATCAACCTTCTCATTGACATTCTTGATGTATGCAAGGACGTTCTGCTCTTCGGCGGCACGAGATTGGGTCTTCTTATGATCGTGACCAGCAGTTTGCCAGCCAGCACCGTCAGTGGAAGTCGGCTGCTCGAGAGTGCTTTCAGCCGCGGCAGCTGCAGGAGCAGAAGCAGCAGTAGGAGCAGGCTGGGATGGGGTAGGAGCAGGGGAAGGCTGAGATGCGGCAGGAGCAGGAGTAGGCTTAGGCGGGGCGACGGGAATAGCAGGGACAACAGGAGCTGAAGCCCCGGATTTAGATGCAATGGTGGCCCAGGTCTTGGGAACAGCCTTTGCTGGGGCAGCGGTCTCCTTTTCAGGCGCAGGAGCCTCCTTCTTCACAGGCTCAGCTGGGGTGGGCTGAGGAGTTGTGGGCTTTTCCGGCGCCGCAGATTCAGGCTCGACCAGGGCAGGAGCTTCTTGTGGAGCCTCCGGCTCTTCCGCAGTAGCTCCGTTGACCTGTGCTGGTTCGCCATTCTCCTGGGCCTGCTCAAGTTTCTCGTCCACCTGAGCGACAGCAGCTTCGTTAGTAACCTGGGCTTCGGTCACTTCAGGTGCAGCCTCAGCAGCGGCAGGTTCCTCGGCAGGCTCCGCGACCTGCTCTTCAGCAGGGGCCGCAGCAGCGGAGGGGGCTTCAGCCGGAGCTGCCTCCTCATTTACAATCTCCTCCTCATCGACCAAGTACCGAAAGATATCATTGAGAACATAGTAGCCGTTGGGCTGCTCGGCGAGCACGAAAGTCTGCACAAACTTCCGGGACGGCTCGGATTTGTTGGAAATTTCACCAATGACGGAGATCAGGATGTTGTCAAACGATGCCTGAGAATCAACGTTCAAGACACGAACTTTACAGTCCTGAAAGTCAAGTTGCTTGAATTTCTCGTTGATTGCCTAAGCAAATGGGTAGTCAAGTTAGCAATGCTCTTAGGGCGCAACTAGTCCCAGGCGCATCGAACTCACCTTTTGGCCGACTGCGACAGGAACCGACTCTGCCTCAGTACCAAAGACGAGCTGCGACCGCCGGGAGTAGAAGAGGTGCAGCTTCTCTGGGCTACGGCTCATGTTGGTGTAGTACTGCTCAACGAAGTACCACCCAACCTCATCCTTAGATATTCCATTCTTCTGGTCGTTAGGAGGGGCATTGGTGGGGGTAGATGACTGCGCTGGCTGAAAGTTGGACACACTGGTCACGGCAGTATGGGCGTGGTTGTAGGAGTCAGGATACGCATGTTGCGCGGGGTAGTTGCCGTTCATAGGAGGCTGGGTCGTGTCGGACATCGTGTAAGATTCTGCAGTGGGAGACGAGTTGGAGAAAAGGTCTTGGGTGGCCAAAAGTATATGAACAATGGCACAAAGCTTCTATGCGACGAAGGCGACAATAAGTGAAGAAAGAGGAAGAAATCTAAAATGAGATAACTTTTCCTCTCCGTGGCTCGTCTGTTAATTGCGGAATTGCGGGTCAGTAACGAGCAGACTGAAACAATAATATATTTCGCGGATGGGAATTTGACAGAAGGCGAGGAGTTGTGATGGATACCCACAATGCTAGACGCAAAGAAAATAAATGCAGTAGCTTAGATGCAATTCAAAGAAGAAGGAAAAAGTGTACTGCGTCAGGTTCTGTGGCTAATCGTATGTGGTGGTCAAAATGAAGCGGAACGGAGAAGAATCTGTGCGATTTCCAATCACGTTGGCGATTAGACGTCAATAGGGAAAAGCAACGAAGGATTTCGAAAGGTAAATAGATTGAAAGCTCAATGGAGGGAAGACGGAGGAGAGAATCAGAAGTCTGTTGAGGGAGGTTTCGAGAAGAAAGAGATTGAAGAAATTCTTGCGGAGAGAAGCTAAATAAGAATGAGTTGTGGGTGGATGGTGAGGATGATGATGCCCGGGATGGAAGAAGTTGCTTTTTTGCTTGTCTTGTCCAGCTTAGTTGGGGGAGTGCAAATTCGCCTTCTTCACAGCCAAAGAAAAAGAAGTGCCCCAGTCCGTTTCAGTGCTTGCTTCACCGCCTTCCCAATGTGCGCTCCGCTTCCATCAGCCTGATGATGGTTCGTAGTACTCACGGTCATGACAGTATTCAATGAGCCTCACAGATAAGCGCTTATAATCATATCTTATATATGAGCTAATTCACTCAACGACAATCCAGTGTTGTGTGCACAGGAGAAGGTCCATTAAAAATAAACAGAGGGGACGAGAATAATTACAGTGCCATTCACATCTGTTCTATTGACAGTCTCAAAGATAGGCGCTCATCAACCATGACATGGATATACAAGCATAGGAGAAAAAGTTAGGAAAAAAAGGGCGGAATACGATGAATCAACAGAAATCTTAACAATCAATCAACAATCGTAAACACCAGAGAACGCGTCAAAACAACTGGTTCGAAAATGAAGGGGGTATGATGGACATGATATGGTAGAGAACAGGTATCACACTCGTTTACAGATTCCGTCATGAAAAAAGTGACAGACGGCGCAAGCGTACAGCGCAGGCATATCGAAAGCAAGCTCCGGATACAAACGATCTGAGGGGAGAAAATCGGAAAGGGAAAGCCAGGGCTTTCAGGTGCAAGGGCTTAAGCTGCTGTGGTCTCCGAAGCAGCAACCTTCTCGTCTAGAACGGGCTTCCGCATGACGGCATCTTGGCCAGTCATTCGTCGCCCCAGCGCGCGTTCAACCTTTGCACCAAGGGCCAGCTTGCTGAGGTTGTCGCTCTTCTCTGGTGTAGGGACGAAACGTTGCTTCAGAAGGGGTTTGTTCTCTAGACGCTCGAGGCCGTCGCGCAGGTGGTTGAACTCAGCCAGTCTGGGATCACCACTAGGTAGGCTTCCGATAGTCTGTTCCGATGGTGCAAGTGATGGGCTACCGCTGACGGTCGAAAATCTCTTGGATGTGCGATTCTGCGCCGGGTTAGACGACTCTGTCGAGGTGATACAACCCGCAGAAGTGAAAAAGCGTAAATGAACTTACAGATTTGGCCATGATAGGTCGCTCCGAGTCCAATGAGGGTTGTCTGGCCATCCTGATGGTATAGTTCTTGGTGGTTTGAATTGTGGGTTGTTTGATTGAGGGTGTAGGTACTTGTGTATTGCTCTTGCCGTCGAAAAGAGAAAGACTTCCCAGGATCACGCTATTTTCTTTGACGGCGGCGAGAGTCAGTCAATGTAAACCGGAAACGAAGGAAATAGATATGACTTGTCGGGATAAGAGAGAAGAGAGAGAGAGAGCGAGTGAGGAGGGGGGGAACAGGGAGGGAAAAATATGTGACTTATTATCAGTATTGATAGTAAAACTCATAAAGGGATGACGAGACTCCAGTACGGAGGGTTTAATTGACTGAACCAGAAAGTAATGATAAGGATCCCATACCTAGTAACCTAAGCAGTCTGGTATCCGCGCGCTGCTGAGTGATAACCGATCTGAACGAGACGGAAACCCTTGGTAGAATGGGTTATTGTGGGATAACGATGATCTCGGGGAGTTTGTATGGCTGGTTATTATTATATTGAACCAGGGGAGCAGAGAAATGGCATGAGAAAGCTACTTCGCAGAACAGGCAGGCCAGAAGTCAGAACTCAGAACTCAGGAGAGCCGGGGATGAGTAAAGTGGATGTGCCGAGTGGGTCAAAGGGGGGGGCGCAGAGAGAAAGTCAACTTAGTCAAGCGTGAAACTACAGTACTAAGGCACTTCCGAAGCTGTAAGAAATCTATCTAGGGAGGTACCAAGGTCGGCATTAGCTTTCTGCATATGATTACCCAGAAGTTAGATGTAGATCAATGCGCTGCAAAACTTTTTCCATAAAAGAAACTCAAAAATTGAAGCGCTTTGAGAATGGAGACATCACATCAAGCATGAGGTCAAGGTGCATCCCTGATGGAAGAATAGAGTCAGCCCATACGCCGCAGGTTACGAATTTCAACAGATTTTTATCTGACTTTTTGCGCTCCTTTTCCCATTGTTGGGCGCAAGACACAATCACCTGTTTCAAAGCCTCGCATCCCTAGTCTGTAGCATCCCTAGTCTGTAGCATATTGTTTTGCCTGGAAGATCACTAGACTCAAAGCATGGCTCTGGTTATGGTGAAGAAAAGATATTCCAACACCGGGCTGATGATCGCCTCTAGCCGTCGTTGTAATGGTGACGGCATAAGAAATACCTTACCCAGGGTGAGGCCGTTCAGTACTTCGGTACTTGTACTCCAAGGTTTTATCTCCACGTGCCACATCCAATTGATACCTTAGTCCTGACTGCCACGCGAGATGATCCATTGAGGTTTCCAATCATCTAGTGTATTTTCTTTTATCCATGATGTCGTACCGGAATTTAATAAGAATGGTATGCCGTAAGAGGTTGAACCTATTATCTATATAAACTCTACACTACAGCTATGATATCATGGTGAAAAACATCTCTACATTACTTCTTTCCACCCCCGAATATTCGCTCTTAAGCCAGTGGATCAGATATCCACATGTGGACATATTCCATATGGCCTCTACTTTCCACAGTCAATAATGATGCAAGGTTGATAGAAGTGTATGATTTCGCTAATTCTGCATTGCGATTTGACTGCCTTCAGTGTCACAATGCCACTGGCTATTCGCTCTGCTCTATTGGGTGTATCCAGTACAGTGAGACAACAAGGAGGGATATGCAACAATTGTAGAGCACATCATGAAATTGAAAAAGGTCTCAAGCAAGAACCAGCATCAGATTATCCATGGGTAATTGTCGAGACATTTTGCATCAAAAGTGCTTGTAACCCATGCGGTATTAAAGGCGGTCGGTCCATCATAATAACAGCAGTACCCGTACATCGTGACCCCTCCGGCCAAATGGGGAAAAAACAAAAACGTCACTGACCCAACAACCAAGCTCGAGAAAACCTCGCTAATAAATTACACTTGGTTATTTACCAACGAAAAGCGGCGCATTCATTGTCGAACTTGCTTACATCGTCCCTGCATGATCCACCGGAATGCCGAAAACCAAGGCTTTTTTGAAGGAATCCAAGCCCAAGAAAAAAACCCAGCGGGTAGTTATATCCTCAGTCATATGCAGCGCAACCATGCAACTGCTGATATCCAACAGGCGCCAGAGACTGCTGATGAATTTCTAGCGGGTAGGTACTGCCTGTCCACCGAGTACTGACTTGTCCATTCATACTCTTGAATGTAACCCTAATTTATCTGACCTTGTCCAGCCGGGGTCGAACAGGAAGAAGGTGGGGAAAAATGGCGTGCTGGCGATGCCGCCAAATCCTTGCGCTTTTTCATGCGGGCAATCGCAATCTATGATGAAGGCTTGCAAAAACATCCTCAGGCGTTCGACCTGGCCTATAATAAGTATGTCTGAAACGAACAATCCTTCCGCCGAGCAGCTGCACGGCTCTTCCATCGATAAGCCCAAGGGGGAATATATGTTCTGTACTGACAGTGCTTAGAGCACGTCTCCAATATGAAATCACCCAGCATCCTAAATTAGCTGCCCAGTTACCAACTCCACTGCTGGATGCCTTGCAGATAGCGTTACGATCGCATAGAGAGGCACTCAATCTGGAACAAGACAACGCAGATGCACTCTTCAATACCGCGCAAGTGCTCACAAGTCTTGCAGAAGCAGCTACCGACACAAAACATCCATCCGACGAACAACTCTCGGGAGCAATCAAGCTTCTTCAAGAGGCCATAGAACTTTTCCAACGATGTCTCGTGTTGCAAGAGTTGCGGTACACCGAAATGCAAGAGCAATTGAAGCAGATGGAATCTGGGTATATGGGTCCACCTGAGGAGGAAATGAACCAGGCTCAAGAGGCTATGGATACTGCAGGCCAATCAGACCCTTCAGAACCGCACGAGCAATGGGCTGCAGTTATTGAGCCGGTGACCAAAAACACTCTCGTTGAGACGGCTGTTGCGCAACTGGATACCCTCACTACACTCAGCAACCTGCTCACGTTTAATCCCGGAGTGGGACTTGCTTGGGTTGAAGAGTACTCTTCCGATCTCCTGCAGAGGATTCCGGTGTATCTCGAGGGGTCAGAGAGACAATATGAGGCGTCTTTGGCTCGAGCCAGGTTGGTATGCGCCTTGAACGAACTGGTCTATCGCAGCGGAAGGATCGAGGTCGAGACATATCACAGAGAGATCATGCGTGCCTTTGGACCAGATTTGGACATCTCTACCGATCCCGACGGTCTTTGCAGTAAAGCCGATGCGCTTACCTCATTCAACACTGCACTCACCGACCTCCCGCCTTCCCACGGCGCC